GAATGATTATTCTCCATAGAAATCATGGATTTGAATAATTGCGTCTGTAGGATGTGTATGCATTGTCAATAGATTAAGAAAGTTCTAACCAAATACTACCTTACAATTACCCTATACTATTTTAAAAAATATCAATAGAACTAAACATACTCGTATATTATAGTATTATACCGTAAGAAGTTAAAAATTAGATATATATGTAAATATTTTAATCCTATTGATAAAATAAAAAAGATAGTTGTTATTTTATAGAAAAAATGAATTCATAAGATATATTATAAGAGGATGAATTGATATATTATGAGAGAATTTTGTTTTATTAATCTGGGTTAAGTACAGGATAATATTTTTTTTAAAAATAACTCTTAATCTCTCGACACTAAACGCTTACACTCATAGTATATATGGTGCTCAAACCAGGGTTCTCAATAAATATAAACAATTCTTTTATGAGAAAATTTTTGTTAGATAAATTTCCACTATGATCCCACACTAAACTACAATTATTTCAAATAATTAAGAAGTAACTGTTACATGAAATTACGATAACAATTGCATAATTAATGTGACTTACCTGGAATTTGTGGTGGTCGGGTCTACTAGACTACAACGCTATTATTCTATGTTTTTTACGAAAATAATATTTAAAAATAATTAAAAGAATAATATAAAAATATTTTAAAAAGTAACATTTATTTTAAGAGAAAATAACTTTAGTAACCGAAAATGTCTTATAATATACTATTTTAACCAACTTTTTTTGGATTTGAGAAAATAACCAACAAATTCGCAACGCGAACTCTAATTTCGCAACGCGAATTTCCAAATTCGCAACACGATTTTATTTGATAAACTTTAGAAACTACGCAGCAACAACTCATTCCATTTCGTTGAGACCCATGTCTATTTTCGCAATGCGAACGAACTTAAAGTTTCGCAAAGCGAAAATTGTGTGTGGTTTGGGGAAAGTTAATCCTCTTAACTCTCCGGTACCTTTCTTCATCACCCACACCCATTGCCCACAACCCAAAACTAATTTCTTTTCCGTTTTTCTTCTTTTCGAAATAAACAGAGAACATTGTGGAGCTAGAACTTCTTTGACAACCATTCGTAATTCATCTGCATCAAAATGATTCAGAGCATAGTGATGCACCTAAAAGGTTTGAAGCATATTAGCTGAGTTGCTAGATAACTAATAAATAACAGAATTCGTATCATGCCGATGCTTTTGGTTTATCCGAGGCTCTTGAATGAAAAACTCAGATCGGCTTCTCAACCACGTGATTTCAAGGAGTTCAAATCAACACCCACATGATTATCGTTGATATCATCGAATTCTTGGTTCGCAAACACATCGAACTCAACACCAAAGATGCTGCTATTGGGATCACCATTGTTGGTGAAGTTAAAAAGACCCAGATTCTGAGCTAAACTGGCACTGGATATACCAGCAGAAGGCAGGAAAGAAAAGGCAAATCCATGTCCTGGGAGAAACCCTTTGAGAGGGGAGATGGAGAAGATGAAAGATGTGGAGAAAAGAAGTACCTTTGATGAATTCGATGACTTTACAAGGATCTTCAAAGGGTACAAGGCACGACCAATGGAGAAAGTTGTGTTTGTGAGGGAGAGAATTGAAGAAGAATCAATGGTGGCATCGCCGAAAGTGAAGAGATTTGTGGAGTTGAAGTCGGTGTTGTAAACGAAATCAAGAGATGGAACTACCTTAGCGAAGAACAAAAGGAGGGTTATAATTGCAGTTGAAAACAACAGAGGAGACATGAGAAACCATAAACAGAGATCACAGACGATGAAAGCTTGGGTTACATGTCAAAAAGGTGTATGCTTTTGGTTTGTGAAACTTTAAGTTCGCATTGCGAAACTTTAAGTTCGCATTGCGAAAATAGACATGGGTCCCAATGAAATGGAATGAGTTACTGCTGTTGCGTATTTTCTAAAGTTTATCAGATAAAATCGCGTTGCGAATTTGGAAATTCGCGTTGTAAAAAATAAAATCGCGTTACGAATTTGGAAAATCGTGTTGTGAAAAATAAAATCGCATTGCGAATTTGGAAAATGTGTTGCGAAATTGGAGTTCGCGTTGCGAATTTGTTGGTTATTTTTGCAAATCCAAAAAAAGTTGGTTAAAATCGTATATTATAAGGCATTTTCGGTCACTGAAGTTATTTTCTCTTATTTTAATCACGTAAGACAAATGCATATTTAAATGATTATACTTTTTTGGCTTAATGAAAAAAATAAGTGCCTATATTATATCTTAAAGTAATTTAGATGTCTAAAGAATTTCTCGTAAAAATAAATGTCTAAAGTTTCCAAATAATATCTTAAAGTAATTTAGATCGTTAAATTCAACAATTAAGTGACGTGTCATACTTATAAAATTTTAAAAATTTCATTTTAAAATAAAAAACTTAAATTTAAATTTATTTTAAAAAACTCATTTTTTTCTAAATTTCAAAATAACCAAATTTAACGTTAGACACCTAAAATTAACTTTGGGTATAATTTAGATACTTATTTTTATATATTAAGCCTTTTTTTTAAATTAATTATTGGTATATGATTTATTGACCAACTAATCTAGACCTAGTTTTTTAGAGGCTCATTATGGTGTGACCCTCTCAACCCAATTTGCGACATTCGCAAAATTAGAGTTTTAACCCATAACCTTGTTTAAGTAATTCAATACTTCATCTCACTAGACCAATTGATTGTTGATTTAAACGATCATATTTTACAAAAGATACTATCAATTAGTATTTTGATTTGGGTTTTAATATTTTCTTTATATGATCATTGTATGATCTGAAATGACTAATTTTTTATGTTATAAAAATATCTTAAACATATATTTAATTTTTAATTATAATTATAAACATTTATTATTTTTTAATAAAATTAACCGTTTCTACTAAAAAAAAACACTATCAACTGAATACACTCCTCACATATGTTATAGAAGAGACGGAAGATATTGTATATTGAAAGCACGTTCCCATAAAATTAACTAGAAATCAATTATATGTTGATTTTGAATTAATGAAATAATAAGATTTTTAAAATAAAAGTTTAATATTTATGATTTTTTAATAGTAAACTACATGAATAATCACTAATGTTTAGTAAATTTTATTTTTTTATTAAAGTTTCAAAAGTAACAAATTGGTCACTAATACTATTGATTTATAATAAAATGATCACTCCACGTCATATCTATTAAATTAATGACGTGACAATTTAAATAAAAAGGTTAATATTTAATTTTATCATCAAACTACTGCTAAAACATCAAATATATCCTTGAATATTGGTTTTATATTTAACTTACCCTTAAAAGCTTTCTAATATCTTTTTTTTTTCAAACACCCAACCACCTCTTGGATTCTTGAGTCTTGATTTAATTCTTGCATTAGCTTTGGGTTTCCTTCTAAATTCAAATCTCGGCTGTTGTATGTTTATGGGATTTTATGGTTCCTAAACAAATTCTACAGTGCTGAGAGACGCATTCATCATCTTCAAGTCGTTTCAAATGGATATTGTATTACCGATTAATTTTACCAACTAGTTTTACAATTTACCGACCTTTCCAATCCTTTCTGCGTGCATTCAACTACATCCATTGACACACCGTGAATGGATGTAAACCGAAAAAAAGGAACAGACATGCCATCTCCCTCCTCCAAGCTTAATGAACAAACATAACATATTTTAACATCTTGCGAAGGTAAATTATACTGTCGTTCATGTTTGTTAGATTCGTTTACATGCCTACTAACTTTATCTATCCAAAAAAGTTGGTGTCGGCTCCAAAAAGATAAATTATTCACTCAAGTCGAGTTTCGATACGACATTATGTTCTAGTTATATCTCCATATTCAGTAGAAAAACTGGATCTACATTATGATATATATTGTTCCATCATAAGTTTTAAGTGTTAATTGAGATGCCAAATTTGCCTGCACATTTATTGGGCAGTAACTTTTGTACTTGATGCATTTTAATCAAGAAGTTATATATTTCACATGCCTTACCTTTGTTATGTAGGAAGAGTAACATCAGAAAGTGGAATATATAGCTTTGGCACTCTTCTACTTGATCTTCTCAGTGGAAAACATATCCCTCCTAGCCATGTAAGTTGCTTGTTAATTTCTTTTTTTTTTTTTGACTGGTTCCTGCTTTGAAGGGATAATCTTTTACTATTCCACTCATTTTATATTCCCTTTCTCTGTAGGAATGTGGATTTCTTCAATGAATTTGGATGCTCTTTTAGCATAAATGGATATAAGGAAATGAGCATGGGAAATCATTAAGGAACTAGGTTATGGGTGCACCATTAATACTGCACATTGCACAGATATTTTCTCTCTATTTACCATTAATATTGAAGGTCAGCTACCGTTTCTAAAATATGTTGTATTTGCCCATTCTTTGAGCAGCCGATAATGATTACGAGAGTTTACTCTTTTCATTTCTTCTTATTGTCACAGTATTGCTTGTAAGAATAATGATTAATCTTTCATGCTTTTACAGTTGGTCAAAAGCTTCGGATCGGTCAAAATGGCAGCCAGTGTGCTCAAAATAACCGTCGACATGGGTAGAGGAGAGAAATAAGAAGAAAGAAGAAAGAAGAAAGAGAAGAAAAAAAGAGAAAAATATTTTTTATTTAAATTAAAACTACGTCGTTTTGGTCCAAAGTTGATTTTTTATAAGATTCAAAATTACGTCGTTTTTGTGTCAATTGCATATCATAACACCGTTAGAAAATTAATGCTGAGTGATAAAAGAAAACTCAATGTGTAAAATTTAACGATTAAATTAAAAAATTAAAAATACAATGAATAAAATAAGAGAAAATAAAATTCAGTGATTAAATTTATAATTTACCCAAAATCTAATCTCATCCATAACCATTTCAGCGAAATCTAGCAGAAATTGATACTAAAGAACACGTGTCTTCATAATAATAATTTCCTTCAAAAGGGTATCGGCTACATATCATGGCACTCACATTTTCATCATCGCCGCTATCGCCACCCTTTCTCTTCCTTCGTCCAATTCGAAACCATCCAAAATTCTCCATTTCTATCCGCTGCTGTTCGTCGTCACCACAACCAATGGACGACCCACAAACAAAGAAGCGCGTGGTGGTCTGCGGCGGAGGCGTAATCGGTGTTTGCACGGCTTATTTCCTTGCCAAGAAAGGCGCAGTCGTCACTCTCGTTGAAAAATCTTCGGTAGCCTGTGCCGCTTCCGGGAAAGCCGGCGGATTCCTCGCTCTAGACTGGTGCGACGGTGGTCCTGTCGAATCACTCGCACGGGCCAGCTTTAATCTCCACCGTTCACTCTCCGAAGAACTCAACGGTCCCGAATCGTACGGATATCGACCATTGACCGCTCTTAGCTTTACCATAACCGAATCAGGGTCTTCTTCTCCTTCCGGTTCCAAGTCGTCGGGTAACTCTAAAATCCCGTCTTGGATCGATGGATCGGCACGTGGGCCTAGAACAATTGGGACGACCCAAACGACCGCCCAAGTACACCCTCAATTATTCACAAGAACTCTGTTAAACACGGCAGTCGAGAAATACGGTGCGGAGGTGGTGATTGGGAAAGTGGACCAGGTACGGGTTGAGGAGGGCCGAGTTGGGTCGGTGGTACTGGATGGGGGGCGAATTATTGAGTCGGAATCGGTTGTTTTGGCACTCGGCCCTTGGACCGGAAAGTTCGATATGTTCGCTTCGATGTTCAGAGTTTATGGTCTTAAGGCACATAGTATAGTATTGCAGCCCAAAGATCCTGCTATTATAACGCCCCATGCCCTTTTTCTTAGCTATTTTCCCCAGGTCGGTAAGGCCATGGACCCCGAAGTTTACCCTCGCCCAACTGGTAAGTTCGACTGCTTAATTCCTGTGGTTTCTAACTGAACTATTTGTGATTTTTTTTTATTTGAATGAGGTGTTTACATAGTAGTATTGGTTCAGAATCTTTTGTATTTATTGACAATACATAGTAGATGTAACTACACAACCCCATAATATTTAGGGAGAACAATATTTACTTCTTTCGTAGTTATTGACAATACACAATAGATGTAACTACACGACTCCATAATATTTAGGGAGAACAATATTTACTTCTTTCGTAGTTATTGACAATATACAGTAGATGTAACTACACGACTCCATAATATCTAGGGAGAACAATATTTACTTTAACCATTGAGGATGTTTAATGGATTCAACTATTTGTGATTTTTTTAATTAGAATGAGGTGTTTACATAGTAGTATCGGTTCATAATCTTTCGTCGTTATTGACAATACACAGTAGATGTAACTACACGACCTTATAATATCTAGGGAGAACAATATTTACTTTAACGATTGAGGTTGTTTAATGGAATCAACTATTTGTGATTTGTATATAGCAATTTGAAACTAAAGAATTTAGCGTACTTTTAAACTATAATAGCCGGTGTGATTTGGATTGTTAGGGGAGGTGTATATATGTGGGATGTCATCGGAGGAAGAGGTACCAGATGATCCAGAGCAAATAGTAGGCAATCCAGCATCAATAGCGATGCTAAAGAGAGTGGCTAAAAATATATCGAGCCATCTGACCGAAGGAGAAGCAGGAGTGAAGGCAGAGCAAGCATGTTTCTTGCCATGTACCAACGACAGTGTGCCGATAATTGGAGAAGTTCCGGGGGTGAAAGGGTGTTATGTTGCCACCGGTCATAGTTGTTGGGGGATACTCAATGGTCCAGCAACTGGTGTTGCTGTGGCCGAGCTTGTTGTTGACGGACGTGCTACCATTGTTGATCTCAGTCGGTTTAGTCCTGCTAGATTTGTGGGGCTGAGAAAAGTTAATGTTTAACTTGGATTTTCAGATGCTGTTTTTATCGAGTAAATGAGAATCAACGAATGTTACTTTTAGTTGCTTCATACTTGATACAATGATGCATATATATATATATATATATATATATATATATATAATCGTCATGTACCAAATTGTTTAACATAAAAGGCAGAGTTGAACAGAGTTTGCTCGGGCACAGTCCTCACTTTCGTTGCGACAGCTTTCTTTTGTTTTGGAGGCAACAGTAGAGGTGGCGGCACAACGACTTTCACTAGGTGCAAATTGTTTGACTACTGTCCTGACTGCATAAGATGGAGGCGAAGGACGTGGTGGAGGACATTGCTTCTTGTTTGGAATTTAAGTGTGGAAAAATAATCAAACACAAGATCAACATTGAATGAAATATGCTCAAGAGACGAGATTTAACAGTTTTGACCGTCTACTTCTACATATGAGAAAAAAAATAATACATTATAAATTAAAAGTCTCGAAAAGTACAAAATATAGTACATTATGTATTCTATATTACTCTCTCAATATCTCTATAAAATTTATTTTTTGCAATATAAACTCAAAAAGTTACATAGAATATATGAACTCCAAAAATTATAGAGTACATAAGGATTACATATATTTAAAATAATTTTCTCTCTTAATTCTTAAAGTTAAGACTCACTTTCTATTTATAAAGTCAAATATTTGGTCAACAGAAATCTTTGTTCAATACATAAGGTTATAAATATTTATAATTAAATCAAACAGAAACTCAAACAACTTGACCCGAATTTCATAAATTTGATTTGATTTGAAATTTTTAAATAAAGTTTTAATTATAAAATAAAACTTTTCATCTCAAATAACTAATTTTTTTAACTCGACTTACGCATTTTCTTCACTTCCAAGTTTGTACATTCCAATTCATTAGTGAGTTCGCTCGTTTCAATATGAAAGCAAATTTTCTCAAACTCATTAATTATAAGCACATTTATGACATTTTGGAATGTTCAAGACCAAACATGTTTCGGGTCGTATTAAATTTCATTTTTTTAATAAATTGAAGAATTACAAAGTAATATTTGTTCAAGAATTATCAGTCATTTGACAATGAACACTCATAATTCTACATATGTGGTGTCTGAACCTGAAACTTCGAAAGATAATAATAAATCTCTTAACCATTAGGATCAACTTTATTCCACAATGAAATAGACTTACTATTATGAACCCCAATTACTGTAATTCCAAGTTGCCTTGTCCCATTCTAGGACAAAACTGAAAAGTCTTAATGTAAAATTAAGTACCCAAATTATACTTAAAGTTAATTTTATGTGTTTAAAGATTTTTTCGTTAAAAATAGATGTCTAATGTTTCTAACGTTACACTTTTAAGTGTCTAAACCGTTAACACCATTAAATTTAACCGTCAAGTGACATGTGTCAAGTATATAAAGTTTCAAAATTTTTTAAATAAATATTTTAAATTTTTATAAGTCTAACATGTGTCGGAAATACAATGCGTCTTCTAGAAGACGCGACGACCACAATACGACTCATACTTTGTTCTTTTAGTAGTCTTGACAGTTTTAACATTCTAACTGTGTGAAAAAATGAGAAAAACACATTATGTTCTCGGCGTCTTCTTCAATAATGTAGTAATTATATTATCTCAAAAAATAATTCTTATGAAACTCTATATGATTTTTTCTAATGTTTTACACAAATAATTTTATCTTTATTTATAAGATATATATACTTATCAATAAATAAAGATGAATAGATTTTTTAATTTCGTGTGGACGAAGAGGAGGAGAAAATCCACCTACTTGGGATTTGACAAGTAAAATCACGTGATATAAACTTCAACGGCATTCTGTACTTTTTTTTTATATATGCAGAAAATTTCAATAACCTAACACATTTAGAAATTTATCGTACGACAGTTTTAATATACAGTTAAGAAAAAATGTTATTAATTTTGTTATTATTTTTAATAAAATTGATAAAAATTATTTAAAACATTATTATTTCTATCTAAAACATTAATGTTTTTTTAACATTTCTAGTAAAGTGTCAAATAATAACAAAACCGGTAGAAAAAAATAATATTTTAGATAACGTTTTACCGGATATGTTAATAAAACCGGTAAAACGTCCAATAATAATAAAACCAGTAAAAATAATAATATTTCCGGTAATTTTTTTACCGATTTCGTTAAAAAATAATAACAAACCGATAACGTATTTCCTTAACCGTATATTAAAATTATCACACCCTCGTACTTCCCCCCAACAGATTTTTCCTTGTTTTCTTTCAATATAATAATAACTCAATATGGAAAGTGAGGATAATTTTGTTGTACGGTAATTTAATTTAAAACTAAAAAATTGATAATTTTCAAACGTAATTGAAAATATAATAAAAATTATAACATTTTAGGTTGAACGTAATTTAAAATATTACATTTTTACATTCATTTTCGGTTGAACCTAAATATTACAAATAAGAAAATATTTTCGTTTGTTAATCGAAAATGTTTAAAAAAAAAGAGTAATATTTTATATTCAATCGAAAATATTAAAAAATATTATAATATTTTATATTATGTTCAACATAAAATATTTAAATTTTATTATATTTTTGGTTACATCCAAAATCATTATTTTTAACTGATGTTAATTAAGAAGACAGGTGTTGAAATCTTGGAGCCAAGGGCATGGTGGATCCCAGATTGAGCTTTTCAAAAGTTGATATCTGCTGAGTGATGACCCAACTCTTCCACCATTACACCCTTCTTTAACATAAAGAAAGTTGAATACTTTATCACAGCTTTTCCGTTATGTAATTTTATTCACTTTCAGTGGAGGGAATGAGAATTATGAGCAGCATAATTAATTTAATTTTAGTGGTACAAAAAAGTAATTACTTTGATAAAAAAAATTACATCTGATTCAATTAATAAAAAAGTAATTTTAAAAATAAATTGAAGGGAAAAGTTTTTTTTTTGTGTGTGGTTAATAGTGGTGTGATGATGATGGATAATGTAATATTAGCATGGATTCCCCATGTGAGAACAAGAGTAGTACTGAGTCCATATTTTAAGAAGAAAAAAAATTCTCAAATTTAATTCGATTGAAGTTTGAACCTAAACTTTTAAGTATACGAAAATTTTATCTTACGTTAAAAAACAACACATAAAACTTACCATCTCCCATCCCATATTAATCGCATAGCTCTTGAGCTTTTTCGGGTCAAATATTAAATAACTCATCTCAACTCTTTAAGAACTCAACTAAATCCACTTAAATTAAGTGTTAGACCAAACTTTGACAAGATCGAACTCAAATAATTTATCTCCCATCCGATATTATGCAACAACCTTGGGCTTCTCAAAAGTATACTTCAAAACTTACACCTTGGATGGATGGATTTTTTATATTTAGAATTATTAGATAAAACATTGTAGGCCTATGATCAAATCTAAGGGTGTAAAAAGTTACCCGACCTATAAAACTGACTGAAATTAACTTGAGTTAAAATTGTTTTTAACCTGTCCTATGACGATCCGAAACCGACTCGAGTCGAAACTGATGTTGACCTGAATCCGAGTTAAACCTGAAAATTGTGGATCTAAACCCGACCTGAACTCGAATTGAACCGAAAATATAATACCCGAACTTGAACTGCATCCGACTGATATAAACCCGAACCCGAGATTGACCTGGTAAATAACTGATATTACCCGACCTGTTTTCTACATGACCTGTTATGAACTTGACATATAATTAACTCAACCTGTAAATGATTCGACATGTTATTAAAGTAATATGATATTATCCTGACTTATAAGTAAAGTTACAATTAATATAATTATGTTATTTTAAATTTATAATAAACTTATAATAATTAAATTAATATGATTATTTTTTGAAATTTAATTTTTATATTATAAATTTGGTTTTTATGTTAATTCTAATTCTTTATATTATTTATATTTCTTATATTATAAATTTTATTTATAATCACTAAATTAAATTTAAATATTATCTTATTGAAATTGATTTTATTAAATTATATTAATTAATTTAAAATATTCATAAATCTAATTTACTTTTAATGTAATTATGTTATTTTAAATTTATAATAAACTTATAATAATTAAATTAATATTATTTTTTGAAATTTAATTTTATATTATAAATTGGTTTTATGTTAATTCTAATTCTTATATTATTTATATTTCTATATTATAAATTTTATTTATAATCACTAAATTAAATTTAAATATTATCTTATTGAAATTGATTTTATTAAATTATATTAATTAATTTAAAATATTCATAAATCTAATTTACTTTTAATGTGAAAATTGATTAATAATTTAAGTAAACTTAACTTAAAATTTTGTAAAAGTTCGAGCCCGTTTGGAACTTGAGAATTATTGAACCATGACCGGATCAGAACGGTAACCACAAACAATACACCTGAACACGGCTTCCCTGATCTCGGGAATTATTGAACTACATCGAATAATCATCCCTTCAACGACACATATCAATATCTATACCAACCAAACAAAGAAACCCAAATCAGTCCAACGCACAGACACATTAATGAACAGTCTATGCAAAATAAAAGAAAACCGACCAGATGGGTTGAGATTTCTCATGGAAGTAGAGCTCTTCAGATTATAAATCCGAACTTGAACTTGGTTATCAAACAGAGGATTAATCAAACTAACGATATCGAAAATCGCTAATACCTCAAGGTATACCTCATCATTTTGTTATACAAATCAGAGTCATAATTAAAAACATCACGAGCATCAACGTCAATCCACTCTCCTTCAACTCCAAGCACTCTATGTATTGGTTGGAGAAAAGGACATCGTTAGTTGACATTGCATATAAAAAAAAATTATCAAGTGGTGAAATAAAGAAAGCTTTTCTAAAGATACAAACCAAAAGAGCCTGATTCTCGGGATTGATATTTTCCAGAAATACTTCTGTGCAATCTCTGCTGCTCGACTGAGGATTCTTAGCCAGACCTTGCGCATGTCAGCAACTATATTCTGCATAGACAAAGCAATCC